GTGTTGCAGTGTAGACTGTAGCCCTGGTTTTGCAGTGTAGTCATTAGTCCTGGTGTTGCAGTGTAGACTTTAGCTCTGGTGTTGCAGAGTAGTCTGCAACACCAGTCCTGGTTTAGACTGTAGTCCTGCTGCAGACTGTAGCCCTGGTGTTGCAGTGTAGTCATTAGTCCTGGTGTTGCAGTGTAGACTTTAGCTCTGGTGTTGCAGTGTAGACTGTAGCCCTGGTGTTGCAGTGTAGACTGTAGTCCTGGTGTTGCAGTGTAGTCATTAGTCCTGGTGTTGCAGTGTAGACTTTAGCTCTGGTGTTGCAGTGTAGACTGCAGCCCTGGTGTAGACTGTAGCCCTGGTGTTGCAGTGTAGTCATTAGTCCTGGTGTTGCAGTGTAGACTTTAGCTCTGGTGTTGCAGTGTAGACTGTAGTCCTGGTGTAGACTGTAGCCCTGGTGTTGCAGTGTAGCCATTAGTCCTGGTGTTGCAGTGTAGACTTTAGCTCTGGTGTTTCAGAGTAGTCTGCAACACCAGTCCTGGTTTAGACTGTAGTCCTGGTGCAGACTGTGGTCCTGGAGCTGCTGTGTAGACTGTAGTCCTGGTGCAGAATGTGGTCCTGTTGTTGCAGTGCAGACTGTACTCCTGGTGTTGCTGTGTAGACTGTAGTTCTGGTGTTGCAGTGTAGACTGTAGTCCTGGTGCAGACTGTAGTCCTGGTGTTGCTCTGTAGACTGTAGTCCTGGTGTAGACTGTAGTCCTGGTCCAGACTGGTCTTGGTGTTGCAGTGCAGACTGTAAGTCCTGGTGCAGACTGTGGTCCTGGTGCTGCTGTATAGACAGTAGTCCTGGTGTAGAAAGTGGTCCTGTTGTTCCAGTGCAGACTGTACTCCTGGTGTTGCTGTGTAGACTGTAGTCCTGGTGCAGACTGTGGTCCTGTTGTTGCTGTGTAGACTGTAGTCCTGGTGTTGCAGTGTAGACTGTAGTCCTGGTGCAGACTGTAGTCCTGGTGCAGACTGGTCTTGGTGTTGCAGTGCAGATTGTAGTCCTGCTGTTGCTGTGCAGACTGTAGTCCTGGTGCAGACTGTAGTCCTGGTGTATTTTGTAGTCCTGGTGTTGCAGTGTAGACTGTAGTCCTGATGCAGACTGTAGTCCTGGTGTATTTTGTAGTCCTGGTGTTGCAGTGTAGACTGTAGTCCTGATGCAGACTGTAGTCCTGATGCAGACTGTAGTCCTGGTGTATTTTGTAGTCCTGGTGTCGCAGTGCAGACTGTCGTCCTGATGTTGCAGTGTAGACTGTAGTGCTGGTGCAGATTGTAGCCCTGGTGTGGACTGTAGTCCTGGTGTAGACTGCAGTCCTGGTGTTGCACTGTAGACTGCAGTCCTGATGTTGCACTGTAGACTGTAGTCCTGGCGTTGCAGTGTAGACTGTAGTCCTGATGCAGACTGTAGTCCTGATGCAGACTGTAGTCCTGGTGTATTTTGTAGTCCTGGTGTTGCAGTGCAGACTGTAGTCCCGGTGTTGCTGTGTAGACTGTAGTCCTGATGTTGCAGTGTAGACTGTAGTGCTGGTGCAGATTGTAGCCCTGGTGTAGACTATAGTCCTGGTGTTGCACTGTAGACTGTAGTCCTGGTGTTGCAGTGTAGACTGTAGTGCTGGTGCAGATTGTAGCCCTGGTGTAGACTGTAGTCCTGGTGTTGCTGTGTAGACTGTAGCCCTGGTGCAGACTGTAGTCCTGGTGTTGCACTACACCTGGTGTTTTGCAGCTGTGACTCTGCAGACTGTACAGGATGTCATCGGTTCCTCTGCACACAGCTCAGAGCCCAGGTTGTTCAGAGGTTGCTCTGATGCACTGAATGATCTGTGGGACACATCATGACCACAGCTTCAGGTTTAATCTGGTCCACACTCACTGTGATTGGTTTTCTCTCCTGGAC